CCAGGAGTAGTCCAACGATGAACTTCATGGTCTTGTTGACATCTTGAATATCATCCTTGTGGTCAACGATGTGGTGTTAATCACATTGGCGGTGCTGCCGGCCACTTTGGACGTTTTGCTGCCCATCTTGGGGTCCTTAGGCCATGCGCTTGGTTCACCAGTTCTCTTCGTCCTTTGGAGTCTGCAGGTGGACTTCCTTCAGAATGTGGTCGATCGCAGGACCAGTAATCAGGACTTTCTCCTGGGTGAAGTTGATCCGAGGGAAACGGTCACGACATCCTTCTGGTTACCAGCCTTCTTCCAGTCGTGGTCTGTGAACCACTGTCAGGGAGATCAGAACAACTTCTGTCTGTCTTCTCTATTTGGCTGGGGTCTTTTATACCGGACTAGAGCTTTCGCTAGCCCCCCATATTGGATGAATTTACTAGGTCTTCCCACCTAGGGGTACTGTTTCCCCTATCTTAGGCCGGCATGGGCACTTTGTCACCTACTGGAGTACGGTTACGAGCAGGTCGATCGTGGTCGTTGTTCTTACACCCGTGAGTTGTCGAATTGTATTTCTGCTTTGCCCTTATCAATCTGAGGGTGGTTAGTCATTAGCGGCCCCTACCCTCAACTTTAGACAGTTGTTTCGCAGGTGTTAATCTTTGTATGGGGAGGCCGTACGTAACAGAATCAAGCAAAGTACTTCGGTGTCATTCTTGACAAAAAGCTCCAGTGTACAGATATCATCCTAGATCGCACATACAAAGCAGCCATAGCACTCTTCGCTTGTAAAAAAGCCATATGGAGGAAGTGGGGTTTCTCCCCCGTAACAGTTCTCTGGCTATACACTGCAATAATCAGGCCCATTCTCCTCTACGGAAACATCGTATGGTGACCTTCCCTAGAAAATAATTGTTAACTCAGGATCCTTCACATGATCCAAGGAAGCGCAGAACTCTGCATCAGTGGGGCGCTCCGCACCACCGCCACTGAAGCACTAAAGACAATTCTCGACCTACAACCCCTGGACCTACTTGCCAAAAGCTGGGCATCTGCAGCAGCGCTGAGGCGCCGCGAAACAGCGGCATGGACCACAGGCTCTAAGAGTTACGCCAGTATTCTAACAAACCAGACATCCTTACCACATAGTACAAACTACGTTTCACCCATAGTCAACTTCGAAATAAGATACAAGATCTTCATACCCACCCGTACAGACTGAGAACACCTCCCACACCAATTCGAAAGCGCCGTCAACATATACATGGACGGCTCCAAGTTTAACTCCCAAGCAGGTGGGGGAGTCTCCTCTCTCCGCCTACCAGACCACTGTAGTGTTTTCCAAGCGGAAGTCATGGCAATACAGGAAGCAATGGCCCACCTGGACACATCAGAACATCACGACATAGATATTTTCATCTTCTCGGATAGGCAAGCAGCCCTCAGGGCTTTCGACTCCTACACAACAAACTCAAAAACAATCTCTGAATGCCGCAAATCTCTTAACGAGATGGCCACTCATCTGAGCATCAACTGCATAGCAGACGAGCTAGCAAGACAAAGGACAACCGCCGACATCCTTCGCGATAAGGTCACGGTGGGTATGCCTAGCCTGCAAGCTCTATTTCAGGCGGAGACTGTACACACTTTCCAACAACCGTTGGAACTCAATCTCAATATGCCACAATTCTAGACTCACATGGCCAAATTACAACTCGAAAATAACAAAAACATCTCCACTCTCCTAAATGCCCTTACGGGCCACTGTCTTGTAGGGACTCATGCGCACAGGCTGGGACTAGGTCACCACGACTTCTGCTGCAACTGCAAACAGATAGACGAAGAGGAGAGCATCGAACAGCTCCTATGCTTATGCCCAGCGCAAAGCCTAAAGAGCTTTCAAACCCTAGGAAGCTACACACTTCCGAAGCTTGCGGCCATTCAAGTAGTAAACATTCAAAAACCTTTATGTTTCCTAAGAAGAACAAAATACTTCGCGAAAGCAAATAACTCATGAGCTAGGGAAAGGGATCTGCTCAGAGATCACGTGGTGTCACAAGGGGCCCATTGTGGCCTAAGTGTAAGGATTAGTATCTAATCTCCAAACACTCCTACCTAACCTAACCAACCCTCAGATACCCGTTACTCAGCTAAGGGGAGTGCGAGTTAGATAGAGACAGGGGAGAGATAGATAGATAGTAAGAAAAGTTTGGGTGAACATAGCAGCTATAAATAAAGAGTAGTCAGAGGAGTACCACTTTGAAGTCAGGAGCAAAGTCTTCGAGAAATGCTGAAAAATGTGAACATTCTTTTTAAACTATCCTTGCTCCAGTATTGAGTTAAAAATAGTTACAAACTTACTTCCGCTGTAAGTGGTATATGGTTAAGAGAAAAATTTGGACACTAATCTCTCCATCTTAAACGGAATAGATTTTTTTTTCGTTTTCTTGCTTAAACCTTTCTTCATGATATAAAGTTGCGGTTATAGCTTACTAACGCGGAGGATCTCATAATGTTAATTTAATTTTTTTAATGATCTGCAGAATATCATTATCCCCTGAAAATTCGGTGGTGTTTTTTGGACGCTCTTGACTGTGTTTTGGACCGTTAGATTTACTTATACTGCATCTTCGGTCATCGAGTTCTCGTTAACAAGTGCAACAACCTCTGGCAGCACCACTGGCAGCATCACTAGCACCATAAAAACTTTATATATACTTCAACAAAGTCCGTATAATCAAATATTACCTTCAACTTTCCTTGCACCACAGGGAGTGTATTTGAGTTGTTGAAAAATTAAGAGAAAAAAAAAATATAAATTCGCTTCCGAAAAAAATTACATTAAAAAATATTGTATGCGACCAATGTCCAATAAAATGTGTCGAATAGAATAAAGATATTTTATCAAATGTTCCATTGAAAGCAATTAATAAATAAGTTCTTCAATTGATGGTGTTTAAAGCTGAAATTTGTAATGTCTTCTAGTGCTCTCAGATATCTTCATTTGAAAGGGCGCGCAATTTAATCTAGCCGTTTAGCCACTAGAGTTACAAACTATACTAGCCCCTTAACTATCCGTACCCCACTCTTTGCTAAGTTTCTTATAACTTTTTAATGATTGGTCCGACGGACATTAATAAAAATCATTTAAGTTTTTCAAAAATATTAAAAAATAAGGGTGCTAGATGGGCTTTAGCGTTATGGGCATTGGAGTGGGCTGTGCAAGAAGCTCTATAATCTACAAGCCAAATCCCAACTTTCTAGCTTTTATAGTTTCCGAGATTTCAGCGTTCATACGTTCCCTTTACCTGTTACATACTCTCCGACGAATCTAGTATATCCTTTTACTGAGTATAATAAGGATAAGACTATAGAGCCTAGACCTAGAATGTGTACAAATTACTCCGGATATGTTAAAAAATTCTCTTTAATTTTAAGTTTACAAGTTGAGTGGTGTACAGTAACGTCCCCTGTCTCGTGTTTGAATATGAAGCCATTGTTAGATGTATTATCGGGAAAATACAAACGCAGAATTCATGCCGAGGTCAACACTTCCAGTACGTACGCTGTAAGAGGACACAGGGGCTGCAAATTAAGGCACGTCTCTGTTGATAGTACCGTGGGCAATTTTTTATAAGTCAGCCGCTGATCCCCTACGACGCGTCTTAGACAATCCACCAAAGTTAGGTGACTAAAGGGGTCTAAGGCGCGAAGCAACTGCAAGTGAAACGTCTTCATCACGTTGTCAGCTGCGACAAAAATAGTTCCGTTGTAATAAGGGTGCTGTATCATCCCTTGTCGTCCATTCTCCGTAGTGAGTCCTGCTACCGCTTTTATGTGAACAGCTTTTGTTGCAGAAAAAAAGGGCAATCTATCCTTTGCAAAAGCTGGTTTGCGACAAATGGTCAGTTAGGTGGGTTAACCCTGTTGTTCACACCAAAAGGGCGTTTAATTTCTGGAGGCAGTGTCGAGCGGAAGTTTTGTCCAGATGTCTACATCTCGCGCGAGTTATGGTATCTGCTCCGGTTGGTTGTAGTCCAAAGGGGTTCCAGTTGTCCGTCAGTAAGTCCTCAGAATTGAATCTCAAGATTGATATTTGTTGGAATAAAATACGATTTGAACAGAGTAAGAACGTCTTCTACGTTTGAATTTATAGACTCCGTTGATATATTGTTCAGCGGTGGGCGAGAAGCCGCCGCTGCCGAAATAAAGAATGATTATCCAGCAATCCGTTCGAAGTGTCTGCTCGTGTCATATTGTGGCGTGGGGTCGGGGAATCCTATTGCGATGTTAGCAAAACGTTAGCGGGGCAACGACTCGAGTGGGTCGTTGCCGGGTATAAACAATGTTTTAGATTGCAACATAACTGCATTCAGATGTGTGGGTCAAAGCGGCCACCCAGTCAGCGTACCATTTCTAGGGTAGCTTTGGCCGGAGGCTTGTTGCCTACCGACTGGTCGGTAACTCGCGCTCACACTGCCCTCTGATCTCTCTCTCCATCTCTCGCCTAAGTCACCGCTCCGCTCTGGAACGGCTAAGTTATGCTAGGCTAAAGTAGTTATATTTTCAAAGTGTCCAGATAAACACCCACGCCTGTCGCGTACATAACTCCAAAGTACCCCCGTGTTTTTGCGTACCAATCGTTCTTGCGAGTTTTTTTTTATAAACTGGTGTAATTACTAAGTCATAAGCTGTTCTGGGATATTTTACTTTTCGTAGTTTCTTGGTAAAGCTTTCATGTAAACTGAAGCCGCTTTGCTTTTGTTGTGTGTTTTGGCACAAAATCTCGTCTTACGTTTTCATCAAATCGCCAATGCTTGATCATACCATAACTCCGTCATGTGGACAGTTCTTGGACATTTCTTGAAAACGTAACTCGTGCTTTCGTCCTTATAAGTTCGTTAGCACTAAAGTTTATGTACAAACATAATTGAATGTTTCCGGAATTTTTCCGGAAGACCTAATTGGTAAACATTTTTACAACTTTATAATTCAAATCTCTGTTTACCTTGCAGTTCCACAATTCGTCACGGATCGAAATCATCACTCAGTCGACGGCGACGAAGGCAGTGCCGAAAGCACTTTTAAAATGACTTTTAATATATAAAAAATATATCGTTGTACACTTTTAGATATCTAAAATTACATTTAAAGTCATTTCAAACCCCTAGTGATTTGAGTGGTATCACACAATTGCGATATTAAAAACTTGGGTTGCATAATTTTTAGTATATGTTCTCATAAAACTAAAATAGTAATATAAATATACACAATGACAGAGTTGAAAGAGGTCTGAAATAATATGCTTCTAATATATGAAAGTTAAATAAAGGTGTAATACCTACGAAGAGAAAAGAAGAATTAACATGTAACGTTTTATGAGGAAAAAATGAGACTAGGCATTCAGGCCAGACTTCTCGATTTATTTTTTATTTGCTAGAAGGAGTATTAAATTAAATTAAAAAAAACGCACCAGAAAAACCAATTGCTTTTACCTAGTTCAAACAAAGTGTTATCATAAAGTTAAGTCAAGTTGTTTATATTTATTTGATCATTTGTTGTAAGAACCATCTAGATATCTCATTCCAATCCAAAGTCAGGAAATTAAGAATATGTGCAATCTATACTTTTTTATGAACGCTTTTTACTGTCTTTAGTAATTTGTGCCTAGTTTCTTTACGCGTGTTGCCAATTATTAGCCACGCCCTAAAAAATATATGTCAGCATTGTACGTTCTTAGGACACATACATATAATTTAATTTAAATCTCAAACTTTAGCGTGAAAATATGTGAAATAGAAAGTTAACATTTTAGAATATAGGAAAACCACTATTGAAATTAATTAGAATGTATGAATTTGTTAAAAAAATAAAGTTGATTCATAAAAAGCAAAACTACAGGTTTTTTTAAGGCTGTAACATTTTTACTGCAAATTTGGTAAGTAATTAAAAATAAATATTTTTTATATTATATAGAAAGTTAAGACATAAATATACCAGGCTTGTGGAATTATTGTACCCATTACACGTTTAACAAATAGGTAGAAGGAGCTTTTCTAACCCTCTACAATATTTATATTCCTAAACCGAATTCACTAGGCGATTCGATCTAGCCATATCTTTAGCAGACACAACCTAAAGCTAAATTCCGGTGTCCAAATTTTCAAAGACCTTTCAAGAGTTCGTTTCGTTTACTAATACCGAACCACCTATCCAAACCATTTATTAAAAGGTTTTGAGCAATTAATGTTATGGCTGGCACTCTTTTTTTCTCAAGGCACAAGCGATCGAGTCGAGGTTCCCGACTAGGTACTATATACTACTATACTATAAATAATGAACACATCTTATGGCATTGCTTGTTGCCGATTGCCATTTTGTTTAATATGTTATTCGATTTAAAGCGTTTCTCTTATTATTTCTTCTCGATATCTTACATATCTCTAACGAACTGTGCCAGTTTGGGCAGGATAACCTCCAACGCGTAAGAATGATCTACTTATGGAATTAATAATTAATTTTTGAAAATCAGTCTAGCCTTCAGCCATATTGGCTTTGCCTTTGCTTAAGATTCTGCCTTTGTCTTTGCCATTAAATTCGAGAGCCGCGCTTGGTTGTCCTGTTAAGATAAATAAACCAATCGTAAAGTAAGCAAAAGCTTCCGTTCGAGGCCCAACTGTCACGATCGAAGCCCAAATTTTTGTGTTTTAAGATCAGATCATATTGCGTTCCAATTTTCAATCAAATTGCATAGGTCAGCATAATTTCATTTCACAACGGTATGCGACAGTTTCAGCATATTCTTTTAATATAAACAAACATGAACGTTCTATAAGCTTGAAAAAGAAAAGCTTCTGGCCGAGGTTCGTTGGATAAGATTTTATAATTAAAAAGTCAGTCTGTTTGAGATTGAAGCGCGATCGGTCTTACAAAAAGATAAATAGTAAAACTTTCTTGACGACATAGTGAGTTAAGTGAACTAGGGTCTAACACCAATAATATAAAATTAAAAAAAAAAATTATGTCCTTTTAAATCAATGACTATACATAAAATGTATTTGCTTACAATGGTCTTGAAGAGGGTTCTCGGTATCTTTCTTAGAATTTTATTTCAGGGGCGTTGCCATTCTTGCTCTTGCTTATAGCAGCTTCCACTTCAAATCGGCTTAAATTTCTTTTGAGGTCTTCATTACCAGGGTAAGGCACGATCTGGGTTTTCTGCTGCAGAACGTCAGGCTCAACGTTGACAAGCATTTTTTTATTGGGGCCGTTTAAACGTCTCACGAAATTCCAAAATCCTTTGCTATTTCTCTTCATGTTAACTTTAATCTCTATTCTCTTAAAGTAATCCTCTTTCTTTATCCGGCACAAATCCTTAATCTCTGAGTTTGCCTCCTGATTCTCGATCCTAGCGTCTCCCGAGACCGAGTGAGGGGTATATAAAAGCACATTCATGGATCTGTGCCTTGCAAAAAGTTTTTTAATGTTTTAATGCTAGATTGAAAACTTTAACTGATACCTATGATCAGTACCTATCGATTGACCTAAAAAAATTTGCCACTCCCACTTTATCTCGGAAACTATCAAGATAGAGAACTGGGATTTTAGATTTAGATTCCGTAGCATAGTACGCAGCCCACTCTTAGCCTACAATTTCCATGCTAGCAAATTTTAACTGAAGGTGTTTGTCTTGTCAATACCTATCGATTGAACAACAAAAAGTTTGCCACGCCCACTCTAACGCCAACAAACCACCAACAAACTTGTTATAATTAACATGTAACGTTTTATGGGAAAAATTTGGATTAGGCATTTAGGCCAGATTTCTCGATTTTTTTTTTTAATTGCTAGTAGAAGAATTTACATTGATTACTTGTCCCCATGCTACCGCAGGTATGTAGCATACAATTGTTGAGACTAAGTCTAAAACCTAAAATATTGCCTTCACCAGAGAGACTTATCTTCTTCCTTTTGTTTTTAGAACAGACAATTTTAAATTTGTTGGTCAAAATCCTTTGTATAGAGTATTTTTGTGTTTTTGTTTTGTTTTTAATCTTATCATAATAAACGAAATTTAATTTTTGGATGGTTTTGAAATATTTAGCTGGGAAAAAATAGACAAAAACGCACCAGAAAAAATAATTGTTTTATATTTCGTTTAAACAAAATGTGTTTATAAGTTAAAACAAATTGATTTTATTTAGTAACAAGAACGGAAGTTAACTTTGGCAAGCCAAAGTTTGTATACCCTTGCAGTTATAAGAAAAAATCAATGTTAATAACACCATGTTAAATTTTTAAGGATTGTTGCTAGCTTCAGTGATATTTGTGTAAAATAAAACTCGTTATGCTGAAAAGTAAAAATATTCTTTATCCCAGAGTAAAAGAAAAAACGATGAAAATCAACAAAGCAAAATTTTTGTAAAAATAATTATATCTTTATTTCTTTGACTGTTTCTTTAACAGCTATATCTTAGAGTCGTCCGACTTTTTTTTAATTCTTAAAAGTACAAAAATTATATTCTCAATAGTATAAGATAATATGCCAAAAAACACCGAAGCTATATTTTTTTGATATTATTTTCCCACCACTTTCCCGATCGTTCCTATGACAGCTGTATGATATAGTCGTCCGATTTTGATAAAATTAAACTCGAAATTCAGAACTAAAAAAAATTTTATTTCCAAGCGAAGGAGGTTATATGTTAAAAAAAACGGACGGACATGGTTCGACTGGTCTAGTGATCAATCGATAGTATTCGACGAGACTAACACATTTCAGTTAACATTTTTTTTGCTAGCATGAAAAGTGTGCGCTTGGGCGGATATTGGGCCTTAGAGTGGGCGTGGCATATTCGCGTAACAAGCTTGCGCTGCGTACAAGACTACGGATTCTAAATGTGAAATCCCAATTCTCTATTTTTGATAGTTTCCGAGATACCAGCGTTTATATTTACGATTTTTTGAGGTAAAAAATTTGCCACGGCCACTTTAAAGCCCACAAACCGCCCACAAACTTCAAAAAATCTTAAATATGAACGTGGATACCTCGGAAAATATCAAAGATAGAGAATTGGGATCTCAGACTTAGATTCCGCAGTCTTGTTTGCAGCGCAAGTTTGCGAATATGCCACGCCCACTCTAACGCCCACAAGCCGCCCAAGCCTGTGGCGCCCACAGTTTGCATGCTAGATAAAAAATTGGAACTGAAATGTATTAGTCTCGTCAATACCTATCGATTGATCCAAAAAAAAATTGCCACGCCCACTCTAACGCCCATAACGCTTAAATCTGTCTACCGCCGGTAGGTGGCGCACTTCAATCTCGCTTTGCTGCTTGCATATCTCCATGTCCCTTTGGTCCCTTTAGCTGATCGATTGCAAAAAGACAGCACCTATTCTTTACGGTCGATGCTACGCACGGGCAATGTTTTCCTAGATGCCTTCCCCCGCGTTCAAGCCTTGGACGGGGAATCGCAGCACTGGCCCAATGCTGGCCCAGGTTCAACAGACCCGACCAAACGCGTGCGAGTGCATAATGCACAGGAGCATTCAAAGCGTTCGGAAAATCGGAACAACATCCTGCGTCGCTGTCCACTTTTCTTGGGGCTGAACTGTTACAAGCGCAAGGATATAGTCAACAGAGCTAAATGATGCGTCAATTGCTTGAGTAAGTCGCATGCCCTGTCTCGCTGCAGCAGCAACCAGAGCTGCCAGGTTTGCGGTCAGCGCCATCTTACTTTGCTCAATTTCCCGGTTCCGGCTCAGAACCAGCCTTCGAACCACGCTCAATCGCATCCTGCCCGGCCACCGACACCGCAGTTATTGACGCCGGCATCCAAGGAAACAGTGTCTGCACACAAAATACAGTCAAGGTCAAATAAAAAGCCACACGCATCTTACAGATGTCATTCGGCGACGGCATCCAACCTTTTCTCAAAAATGCTGCGAAACCCGACCAACGGCCTGCAATCAGTAATAAACACTAAACAAGGATCTGAGGCAACCATAGTATCTGAACACGTTGCTCAGACCCTTCATTTTAAACGGTCTGCCGCCAGAGCATCCATTTCTGGGGTAGGTCAAGGGGGTGGTCGTCGTTGCAAGTATACGGTCAACTTTGAAATCAACAGTATTATTAATTCCAATTTTTCTTTAGATTTTGATTCCGCATATGTGCTCAATTCCGTAACATGCTGCCTCCCCAGTCTCAGCTTTTCGCCGAAGCGATGGGATCACATCCAAGGGCTCCCGTTGGCAGATCCAAATTATTACCGATCGAAACGAGTTGAACTCATCTTGGGAGTGGACCTGTTGGCACAAATCATGCTGCCAGATAGGAAGATTGGAATGCCCGACGAGCCCTTAGCTTAAAATATTCGTTTTGGATGGATACTATCTGGACGAGCAGAAGGAGTTAGAAAATCTTCCGAACTACGCTGTCATCGAGTAACTTTGGATACGGAATCATTGCTCAAGCGATTCTGCGAAGTCGAGTCGGTTCCTGACCGTTCTACAGAAACGGAGGAGGACATGTGGTGCGAAGCATTTTTCAAGGAAACTCATGCGCGACGATCGAATGGCCGCTACGTAGTACGATTGCCCTTTAAATCATATTTGGATCCAAGAATGGTATTGGGGAGATCTCATCAAATGACGCTGAATCGATTTATGCAATTGAAAAGTCGTCTGTCGAACAATCCGGAGCGATGGAAGAAATATTTGGAGGAGATCGAGGAGTACTTTTCGCTTGAGCAAATTGCGCCTGCTGTGGGCAGTGAGAGCAGTCTAGTGAAGCGCACATCTTCGAATAGGCATGTAGCTTCATGCGTAGAGGAACTCCATTCGGGAGGAACTCCATTCGAC